TATTTATTTCCGAGGGGAGCAATCTTTGATAGTATTAATTCAATGGTAGTATTTGGATCAAGACATTAACAAGTTGACGTGAAAGATGAAATTAGATCATTTGAGGGATATTGCATGGCTTAGTGATATTCATGATGCATTGCGATCTAAACGTAGTTTTGCACGACAGCCTAATCTGTACTTTTCATTTATATGCGATCTTGGTGTGAGTCAAATTCAACCATTCGAGGCGCTTTACCCTTTATTGCACCGGAAGTCTTCCATACTCGTAAATTTACGAAGGCATCAGACACATACTCTTTTGGTATTGTCATGTATTTGATGGACCGCCTTTTCGGGATAGACAGTTCAATAGAGATTTACTATGCGATAACCAATGCCCGAGTCAGCACCAGAAGAATACAAAAAACTTGCTCAGCATTGTTGTGATGCTAATCCTGATAAGCGTGAGAAACTCATGGATTATGTATGGCAGCATATCGTATTATGTAAGCCTTTGAATAAACCTTGTATAAACTGTCAAATAGCCCAAGAATTACAAAAAAGAGTTTGAGTCTCTAAATTATAAGAAATGATATTGTAAATTAACTTCATTATAACCAATTATTGTCTTCATACCTACAGCTAAAGCCAAATTATAGCTATTTCTTGGTTTAAGTAAATCACCCAGTAGGTAAAGAACATGAATATTTACTCTCCTTCTCAAGACGCGATAAGGGCCTTACATCATTATGATAGACGGCATTCCATATATCAATATCCTTGTCCGCGCTATATAAGACTGCTAATAAGATCATTGATATATCAATATGGTTGAGTTAGCAGGATTCCGACTGTGCACTTTTGTGCCTGCTCGATTTGAAAATTTCTGACACTCCTGTAAGAACTAAAACCTTAATTTCATCCGCTGTTTATCGATGGTATTACGCGATTGTGAATCATCACTCCATTCATATTTCTCAAATATCTATCACATCCTTTCCATGATATTGTTGCATAGCCTTGACAGCCTGTAACGACACAAGTTTAACGCATCCAACGGGAGATTGAATCAAACGATGCGAATGCATTGAAGATAAGAGAAAATGTTTATGAGATGTTCAAAGAGCATAATATGCAGATAGTTGAGAGGATTATTTAATATCTTATCTAAAGTTGGTTGTTTATTGGTTTCTTTAAAAAAAAAAGTTGAGAATGATTTACAGTAATATTGTACATAATAATAAGTCAATTTGGAATTGGCACAATATTGGTAAAATCACTATTATTCTTATCCGAATAACAAAAGACAGTTTAATTTGCTGCAAAGGTACTGTATGCTTCAATTGGACTTTCCGAAGTTTAAGGTTCTTGCATGCCTTCTTATACATGTAGTGCATAGACTGTAGGATTCAATAATTTCAAATTATAGAATTTTTATTGACAACTACAAAAACTGCCCACGCTGTTTTTTGACAGCTAGTACATAAGAAAGCAAATGCTATCACCAAGACCAAATAAAGCTTGGCCCAATGCCCAGTAGTTTGTTGATGATATAGTATAAGAGAGGGGAAAGAAGCGGACATTTGTTGTTAATAATATTAGATAGTGTGTTATTGAAGGCTAGAAGAGTTCTGTAAATTGAGAAGGAAGATTTGAAAAAGAGTGCGACAATTAGAATATAAATGAGATTTCTGTATAAAGTTAAAATGGTAGGACACCAGGGTCAATATAATTAAAAAACTTGTGTTTCTGGTGGGTTTCTTTCCATTATATAGTAACGGGGCGGTGAAAGTAAAAGTATCGTAGTATTCTTCGTAAGACCTAATTTATTCAAACAAGAAGGTATTGATGGTCTGGGGTTTGGGAGAGTGATAATCTTTCGCATAGGGGGATTCTTCCGACCGGGGTTATTACCAGATTTTGTGCCACCGCCCTCATCATGATGGTTGTTCAATTTAACTACAAGTGACCTATGTATATAATTAATTTGCGCGCTTCTAACTTCCTATCCAAGCTTCAATTACTCGTGATTCCAAATAAGAGCACCCGTGATAGAATAACAACAACAATTATTATAACGCAGAATCGGAGGGAATTAAACAGGGCTTTCTTCGATTTGGTGTTTTGACTAGTCAGACTCCGTCACTTGTCTCTTATAAACTAATTAAACAATATTCGTGTCAATAAATAATCATTGGCTCTCGTTTCTCAATTAAGAGTACTAGATCAGCGGACAACTTATACAGCTTAAATGAGCTTGAATGAGTTGTTTATTAATGTGTCCAGTCGAACAGTCAATATTTCAACGATGAAAAAAGGTAAAATTTCGATTTCAAAGGGAATCATTTATTTGATTTTTATTTCCGTGGAATAATGCTGTTATCGAACCGACAGGATTTGGCGATGGGATATATATCTAGCGTCGCCCAAAATGCGAAACAGAAGGCAACATTGAAACTCTTTTAAAAGGCCAATAAATTCTAAGCTAGCTAGTGGCGTTTGTACGGGTCGATCATGAGTCTTGCATGAAGTTTACCATGTGACTTGCTTATCTGATCCATCAACCGTAATATTGAATAGAATTAATGGTTACGGGCATCTCTAGATAATCAGAACGAATTTACAATAGTGAAAAAAGTAACTGTACTTATACAGCACATTTAATATCAATATATAAATCCCCTGGCCTCCTGTCAAATCAATTATTGACACAATTAGACTGTAATTCCCAGTTCGATAACCTTCACTATTAGTTTATCTCAATTTCAAATTTAGATGCCTGTTGAGCTTAAACATGTAATATTTACGATGTGAAAAGCAAACTCTAGAGGTTCACCTTAGCTGTGCTTAATAGAGGACACACAAAATCAATATTAATATATAGCATATGTGGGTGTGCTGAAAAGTTTTGCGTGTGGGGCCTTCATTTCTGAGGTAACTATCAAAATAACTATTTTATTCCTTCAAATTACCCTCCATTGACTCTACGCAACGTTGCATTCTGCCAACTCTGGAAAGAGTTTTATATTCCTCTTAGAGTATTAGGGAAACAATCAATAATTGCCTGAGTTCAACACAATTGACGCCTTTTCTTTGTCTCTTTTGAAAGCATCAACCCAGCACCTAATTAGTACTTACAGTTAATACTCTTTCCCTTCCGCATTCACTATTCTTCATTGGTCTGAGAAACGGAGAATTCTTGTAAAATTTTAGCTTTTATCTCGTACGTGCATTCAATTATTGCTTTCATATTTTAATCAGACTGATACATCATTGCAGTAACAAGTTCACACACGCAAAACTTTTCAGCACCCGCATGTACATCCAAACAATACTATTCATAAGCGATTACTATCCTAAATTTGTTTCTTCCAATCAGATCAGGGTTTCTCCATCACGAATTACTGGAAATTTGCAGTTATCAGACCTCAATACTGATTATGTGATTTTAGAAATTATGCAATTTATATGGTATTTGGGATTAGACCCATTATATTTTAATAACTTAAACAGCATTGAGAAAGTTACCTTCGGGAGATTTACCAATTAATTAATAGTATCCAGCCAAAAATAACTATTAACAGTCACTAATTATTCAATTTGCGAATAATAATAGAAAACCAGAACGCATTCTTTGCACTTAGATCGAAGCGCTTAATATGTATGCACCGACCGGAATCTTTACTTTTACCGGATATTTTCCTGGGCATGTTTATTTTCTATTGAATATGTTGAATGGCTAAGATTCGTAAACATCTTGACATAATATACAGTGAATAAAGATAACTAATAGTTACTGATGTTGTGTCCGAGTTCAAGACCTGTCTCAGTTCAGAACCAGTCATCCAGAACTCAGTTGTTTCAGAGGTCCCAACTGGGGTACCAAATTTAGGACGACGGTTACATTACCATGTAAGCATCCCATTGCGGCATCTTGTGAGAGAATTTTCAACGGTCGTTTACGATCACATGATTTAAGATTGTCGAAAGTCGCATTGAATTACTGATATACCTTTTAGCAAATGAATTACTAGATTATGTTGCGAAAAGCGAAAGTATCAACTGCCAAACATAGAGAATTAATATATCAAACACGAAAGTTATACGTACGTAATAGTTAGTAAGATGCTGTTTATTCTGCGTTGAATAGATAATAACGGTCTAAGAATCTATTGATTACATTAATTGCACTGCAGAAAGCTTAATATGGTAATTTATATAAAAAACCTAACTGAGCGCTTGTGTAGCAATCCAAATCCTAAGACGGGACACAACATTCCTAATTATCGTAGCGCGCCTTAAACTCTAATCCGATCATCTATTTATTAATAAGAAGACGATAACGATCATCGACACTTGGCGGGAATATTTGTTACATCACGTGTAAATCCTCCAACGATTGTCATCAGGCATATATTATAATTTAATTACACAGCACAGAGACGCATACCCCTCCCCCAATACGCTAAAACCACTTAGTTGGAGTTCATACTCACTCAGCCCCAGGGCAAGAGGTTCTCGTTCCGGATTGGGTCATGAAACAAGAATCTCAGAATAATCGAATCTATATGTGATTAGCTACTCAATCATTGGGGTGAGTTGTAGAACACAAGTTTCTATCTGAATGCGGATTGAATTGATACGTGGATTGATGAATAGTCACAACCAGCCCCCAGCCACATTAACACAATTGTATAAACAAAGGTTGGAAGGCGTTTTATTTACAAAAGCCCAACGCATAACGATACACATTAAATATTGAAACGTAATGTCTAAGAACTTGGGTTAAACATGAATGTTCGTGTCCTCACTATTGAGTACAACAAGTTTGAACTTTATCGTACGTACGTTATATACGTCGTATAGTAACCCAGAAATTTTGGATTGAATAAGCGAGAAGATAGTCAGGCACTTTCTTACAAGACGAGTGTTAAAACATAACTATCATGATAATATTTTAATATTATATATATTATAAATGCATAGTATAATAACTACAATGAGCCAAAGTAGTTCAGTTAATTATAATTCATTTTAATTATCGCCGTGGCGAACAGTTTGGCATAGTTTTTCAACTGTTCCGTCGTCTAAAAATTTTATCGACTATTAATATCTAATACTGTTCTGATAACGCAAATCGTTTATGATAAATCTTACCATGCGTGCAAATTCTTGTTTTGCAACGCCGTTATACTCATATTCGATGTCTGGTTCTCGCGCCAACTCATGTACAATATCGACCTGCTGTTCTACCATAGCAAAAAGGTGCTGTTCTTCTTTGTAGTCGGTACCTTTTTTTGACACTTTATCTTTTCGTAGATTCTCCACTACCATAACAGGGTTATGGCCTGTATAGTCCAACTGGATAGGAACAGTCATAGATTTTCGACCACGCGTTGGCTTTGAAAAGAGCGCCTTTTGGTGAGTGTTTTGAGACATATTGGACATATGATAACCCTTTATATGTCACAGTCGGCTAGCTGGGTCGTGGACTTTTAACGCTAAACTGTCTGTCGCTTTTTCTAAATTAACAGAAATTTTTGACTTGCCAGTTTACGGTTTAGAGACGTATGTTCAGAATGATAGACTGTTGGGGGACCGTATTTAAATACGTCGGGCAACGTGATGTTTGAGAAATCCCATTCTGATACAATAAAACAGTAAAAATATAGTAGTGTTTTAGTCGGCGGACAGAATATTTTGATTGCAGGTCTCTAAAAAGCAATTTTCTATATATTATAAACTCCATGATATTGATAATGGTTATTAAAATATGTTATTTTATTATAATATTTTAGAGTTAAACATATTTTCAATCCTCCTTCATAGATGTTTAATTAGCTCGGCACCCTTTTCCAAATATACTGTAAGTATAGACACCGTTGTAATAATAAGTTCAAAGGTTGCAAAGCGCTATCACTACATTGATAATTATTTAAACTTAACTACAACTTTAATACAATTAACAATAACAAAGGACCATATAATTTGAGTGCATTGTGAGAAAGTGCTTACCCGAATGCCTACCCGTTTCAACAATCTCTTCTGATCGAGCCAACCTGAATATTTTTTTGTCAATGGATTTCACGGCTTGAACTTGGCAAAATTTTTGCAAAGAGCATTTACCTTATTAAAAACAAAGCCTAATGTATAATTAAACCCATTTAGTCTCTGTTATGCGAATGCAGTATCTCAAAAATTATTATACCGAGAGTTTTACATAACAGCCAGAGTTGTTTTCAGATGTGTTTATAAAATCTTTTTAACACAGAGGGTTTTAAATTTTAATCGGAATTGGAATTAGAAGTGCATACACACACACACACACACCCCACACACAACCCACACACACACCACACACACACACACAAATATGTATAATTACCCTATATATATATATTGAAATTTCAATTGCTTATGATATAACTATTAGGCAAACCGATCAATAACTTCGGCCCGTGTTTATATATAAAAGTATTTGATTAAATATTCTAACTATTAATGAACCCAAGTTGACCCAACGCTTTCGTATTCGGCTCTATTTATCGGAGTTGACTTGTATTTTCATAGCAAATTATTTAGCATTTGTTAGTTTTTTTTTCTTTCAATTGATTCTGTATTAGGGTGGAAATGCAGCCTCATCGTTATTCTCACGTCGTATAATAATACGCGGCGGGAATGACCGGCATATTATTGCAGACCACTAATGCGTGTTCTGACTAATTAGGATTTGACCCCTATACACACCATCTCTACTGTTTGCGTACGTGATTGTTCGTAGAATGTACAATTTTTGGGGATTTTTCTGACGTGCATAAAAATCTTATGACGTGTAACCGTTATTAATAATGCACCCCCTTAACAACAAGTCTGGCCGCTCGCCTACCCACCCCAAAACTGAATTGCAGGGGAAAAGTCCAAATGATTTAATAAAGGCTAAAAGCACAATTGAGATGACTTCTGCAAGCACAGATTCATCTGACAAGTTAGGTTGCATTCTAGTAGAGGAGCTTGCACTAGTGCCTTCCACTTTTTGTTGTCTAAAACCTTAAGTGGATTAGTTATGCCATAGAAAAGACTTTTTTGCATAATAGCGCTAAGTAGATTAATATCGTCGTCTCTGTTATCATCATCAACATCATTGACGTTGTTGTTATTATAACGAATGGGTAACAAAGTGGATGGTATATGGATATGCTGTTACTCGGTTCTATTTCATGTAAGAAATCTCATTTTGATAATTGTGATTATTATACCGATTTATTGTATTTCTCAACATACTCGCTCCTATTTTGAACCGTTTGTTGATGAGACTCATGTTTAATGTTATGATAACTGATAGGCAACTAAGCCTGTAAGCAGTTGATGAGTGAGCGTAGGTATAGGTGAGTACAACCAAATTGTTATGATTAGTAACCATACAAGATATCACGTTAACATTATATACGCTCTTCTCTCCCATAAGTGTAGGAAGTCGGACATGATTATTATAGTGATGGGTGATACTAATATTCAATAGAAATACAGATCAACACAGACAGTGGAAATAACTAAGCCAAACGAATCGGGACTTCTATTACTCCAAATCTTCAATTAAGTATTCTTGCGGAATACGCCCACCTTTGAAAGTTGTTCAACTCTTCACTCATTTAGAAAGACATAACCAAAAAAGGATGTGCTCAGTTGCACAACCACGGGGTAGCAGCACAAAAAATCGTCCAATCGAAATCAGAATTACGATAACTCCGCCCTTTGGCTATAGATGGTAATTCACGCAAATGCGCACGTAGTTTTTAATTTTGTTCAAGATAAAAAGTTGGCGATATGAATTACATTTGTAAGTAATTGAGTCGAAATAACATACTACATGCGAGAAGTACATCTTCAATTTGCCCTTTAAATCACAAAACAGACGTCATACTTAAGCATGTCCTATAATTGCATTACTTCTGAAACTCAGGAAAATAGCTTTAAATACCTCACAGCATTATAAAATTAGTGCCGTAATTCCCATGGCGATCAAGCTGATAGAAGCATATGCTATATAGCTCTGACAAACGAAGTAAAAATAAAAAAGATCAGAATTATTAGCAGCGGTTAAACATATTAATATAAAAAATGTTGATAATTTAGTGATGGAATATATTGCAAATATGATGAAAATCAAATAGACTAGAAAAATTATGACTTGATTCAAATGCAATGATCTAAGCGTTTATGGATAATGTTTTCATTAGCATCTTAAAAATGACATCTGCTACCTAAAACATATCAGCTTTGAAGGACGAATGGATATCCGATGGCGTATATCGTTCACATCTGTTTTTACGAGATACTACAAATGTCGAGTATTTGTTTGTTCAAAAAGCGCAAATGCTACACCTAATTTTGGATCGAAATATACATATATATCGTTCACAATTTCTATCGCAAGCAAGGGACTTTTATCCACAACGAGATGCGTCTCAATAATCATGTAACAATATTACCGATATAATGCCACTTTTTGGTGTTGCGCGTACCCTCCTAGCACAACTGACATTATTGTACCGTTGACCAGTAAACGATAGCGTTGCAAATGAGACTGACTTAATATCATTTTCGTTGTAAACGCTCTTGGTTCTAAAATTTCTAGCCATCTCGAGTGCCGTCTTTTGCACAGAAATTAACTGTCTATATATTGTCGCTTGATATCTTACTCTAGGGTGCCTTCAGCCATTAGAAGTATATCCTCTTTAGTAGATAACTCTGTTTAGCCAAGCCACCATCTGGTTGGGCATGTTTATGGTTTGATATTTTTAAATGTGGCGATGTAAATGGTAACGTAAAAATAGAAATAGACATGACAGTCTGTAACACTTGTATAACATATAGTAAAATTGCCATAAGATTGGAGAGCCTTTATTGTACGTTGTCACGTGGGGTAAAACAATTCAAATTAAGAAGTACAGTCAAAGCTCGAAAAACTGATATTGCGAAAAACAGATGAACCCCCTAAACCGATAATTTTTCTAATTTTAAACCACTTCTGCATATAAAAATTGCGCAATTAATTTTGATAACGCTATTGTTTTGTCCAGACTTAACCTCGATATATCAAAGCGAAAGCCTCGTGCGCGACACATTGTCTTAATCCTGATAGCACGATTGACATTGTACAAGTCAAGTCGCCTTCCAAAAGAATCAGTTAACGTAGCACGTCTTGTAAGATTCTTTTGTGTATTAGTGTTCCTTGTTCAGACACAACTTTTCAGATACCATTCAACTGCTTTGATGGGGAAGGCAACACGTGATTTATGCTTTATTATGATTATCATTATGGTACGATCCCTCTTGTGGATAAACATTATGATACTTGTTCTATTACGAAAATTACAAAACACTGACCATCCATTGCTGTGACTGAGGTGAGTCACAAAGTATATTATAAAATAAATTTATCGGGCGCATCTATGGAGTAAATAAGGGACGGGGTCTACTTCTTTACCATCTCCTTGTATCTCACCCACGAATACATTCCCGAACCAAAGAGCGCAAGGATGATACCGATTCCGTTCTATAGAATGAAATTGTAAAGTGACAAGTCAGACCCATGCAATAAATATAACATTATAATACGAGCCACATTTGTACTTACCAATACGCTGATTGGATTAGCAAAGTACCATGCAGCAAGCGCGGTCTGGACACAGCTCTTGGCGGTGCCCGAAATGTTGTTGGTCAAAGGAGTTGTGTATTTAATTTGAAGGAATATAGCAATATTGATCACAAATCCAGTTATGCCTGTGAGAACCATCAATGCCCAGAATAAAGGTTCATCAAAGAAGTAGACATTCGCAAACATATCCTGAAGTTCGCCGGCCAGAACAACAAGAGGGAAGAGGAAGGCGATTGATAGAGTAGTGTTATAGTGAAGAAGTCGCCTAGAAGGGAATGAGATAATGAAAAAGTTGAGATTACAAGTACGCATTGCCAGACTAGTATAATTTCACTAAACATGATAATCGTTTGATTATCGTTTGATTATCGTTTGATTATCGTTTGATTATCATTTGATTACTTACCATTGATTATTACCGACAACGACAAGAGTCTTTTTGACATAAATTCCATACAACGCAACAAATGCACTGGAAGCTACGCCGTAGATAACGCCTTCCCAAGTAAAATTGAGTTCACCATACGAGCCAATGACGAAACCAGCAAATACAATCGCACATGCGCATAATGCAGAAACTGAAGTTTTGGCACCGAGAAGAGTGTAAGTGAAGATGATGTTGAAAACAATTGTGAGAGAGCGAGCAACCTAGTATTAAATAGAGTGATGTGATAGAAATGAGCATAATCATCAACCAGTCTATTAATTGCATTCTGATAAATGTTCATGCGAAAGAATTAGCAATTACCTGGTAAAATGTCACTTCCACATATTGCAAGCACAGGTTGTTGAATGCCAACATGAGGACATAGATAAAGCTCAGTGGCATAACTTTGCGTGCTATTGTTAAATCCAACTCATGTGGTGGAATAAGAGAAAAAGCCTTGAATCTAGAAAATAAAGCGAACCGTCGTCAGACATCATGTAAGAAATGTAGCGTATGTAGTGTATAGTGAATGCACAGAACAATCATCAAAGCTGCATGCATTTTGTTTCCGTCATTTTAAATCTCAACATGACATGACATGACATGATAAGACATTTTCACTTTTGTTTACAATCTTCCTCTTTCTGTCGCTATACTGTATCTATTACGCTCTACTAAATATAACCGAGCAACACATATTGCATTTATTACCTTGTGCCAAGACCTCCCCATACAAGCAATATAAGCAACGCAATAACCAGTTGGAACCAAGTGACGAACAATGGATAGGGAAACTTGTATTCCGACGTGCTTAATATGAATTTGTTCAAGAATACTAGCGCAAGCGATGCAGCCCAGTAGAAAGCAACCACACCCAATATCACCAATGCAGAGTGTTGTTTCTGAGCTTTAGCATAGGCAGAGGCAGATGCAGATGCGGGAGGAGGGAGAAATGGTTTCTCATCTTGCTTCTCGTCGGGGGAGACCATGCTTGTTGCTCTATTTGTGTCTTGGTAGCGCCTGAATGTTCTGGGCAGAAGAGTAAGAAAACTAGGGAGAGACAGAAAAGAGGGAAAGAAAGTTTGAAGGAAAAAAAGCTATTAGATAAATATGAATATTTAAAGCCTCGAGAAACTCAAACTAAAAGTCCTTGGGCATGATTGGGGCAAAGGACAAAATACCTGGAAAAGAGTTATTACCGGCAATTAGCAATTCTGGATCTGATACAATTATAGTAAATACTATCACACGGAATTATTAATAGAATTATAGTGTGCAACTGATAACGGTAATGATGCTGTAACAGTACAAACAATACACAGCAATATATCAAAAAGTGGTGACACCAACGACTGTACTGAATGTCCGATAGTGCGGATAAGCAACTTGTTCCATAGTAATTAATAGCAATCATTATCATTCATTTCTCATCAAAAGACTTGGTGCGTGCAAGCATTTATTAGGATATTATGATATTAATGAATACAGGATATATAACAAAATAAATGTCCCTCGATAAGTTCTTTTTTTTCCCTGGTTGGTTTTACAATGGCAATAATACGAAATACAAAAAAGCAGAGCTGCAAGGGCGTTGTGTAAATCACTTCTTTTCTTGGTTGTTCTTTGGATTTTCGGGACTGTTGATCGATGAATGAGATTAGTAAATTATGCATTTCCCCAATCTAAGCTATCACAAGTGACTGATCCCTTGACTTACGAGTTCTTCCAACGCTCTGCCACCAACTTGAATGCTGTTTTATGATCCAAGTCTGGATTATCAGCTTTGACTTTGGGAAGTTCGCTTTTTACGTATTTGTTATAAGGCGAGAGTTTCTTGGTGGCTAGGATACAAAGCAAAGCAAAACAAAACAGTCAGTAACGTAAAAGAAGATATTGCATATTGATTTGAGATATAAAGCCGAGTTAATGACGTACTAGCACTCTTGCGGGTAGTCTTTTCTCTGGCCATTTCGATTATGAGTTAGTAATTTATGTGTCTTTCGTATGATCGGTGTGATAACAGTCGTTCTCGACGTTGATGCTCGCCTGTGTGGTGGGGTTAGCTATGCTCCTCCAGATGCTCTTTATATAATAACTGACGCGATAGACATGACGCGACACAAACATCGCGTCTTGTTGATAGAAGGTGTCTGTTTGTGGATTATGTCTCGTGTATGATTATACATGCGATGTAACACGATGTACTGTTGTGTCGCTTTCGTTCTTGTTGTTGTTGTTTGTTGTTGTTATTGTTGTTACTAGAACGTTTCGAGGCGCGTGACAGTCACTCGTGCACACATGCGCAGTTGGTAGTCATTCGTTCTACGTCATGCTCGCAGTATGTCTTGGGTATTGCTTAATATCTACCTTTACGGGTATAACGGTAAATAACCTCAATTGAGAAGAAGCCATAAGAAACCCGTTACATAACAAAGAGAGATAGGAATAAATTGTTAATCGTTTTGTTGAGTATTTATAACTGATACTATACTAGAGGATACAATAGCATTGTTATAATGTCAATAGTATTGTTATAATGTTCGTTCTTACGAGTCGGATGCAGATCATCCAATCATACTACACATCGTCACATAGTAAAAAAAATTTTCTTTTTTGTCGACCAATCTGCATGTCTTCAGACGCAAGGAAAATTGCAGCACGGACACCTGTCACCATCAATCATTCATGGTTAGATCGCATCACAGAGTATGTGGAAAACCATCCCACCACTCGACTACACCCGAGTATCGAAATAATTCGCACTTTTATCAACGACATTGAAGCTACTTGGGAGAAACAGTGTGGATATTTAAAGAAAATTGGTAAAACTATAAATCATAATAAAATGTTTGAATTGACATTCGGATAGCATTCCTTCTCACATCTGTAATCTTTATCAGAGAAATCTCTCCCATCTATCAAACATCAAAGCAAAAGTAAAAGTACGAATAACAATAGCAATAGCAATAGCAATATATCGGATCAATTGCATGTCGATCTCACTCCAGGACACAAAGAGCAACTCGTTATCGTAGAAAATGTAATCTCTAAAATATACTTCACAACCACCGAAACACTGATCAAACGGCACTGTATTCCAATATTGGATGCATGTTATCGCATTGTGCTTGACTCAAACACTCACAGTCATCTAACATTCGCTCAGCAGTATGATAAATACATTACTCATACACAGTATACTAATCACTGCGTATGGCAGAAGGCGTTTTCAATATACTTGACACTAGACTTTTCAATTGGATTTGATACAATTCGATCAGCCATTTGGGAAACTATCCACTTTCTCACCGATTGTTTGACTACGTCAGTCGAACAGGCGCAGAACATTAACGCACGTAATATGGAAGACAGCATAAGAGATAGTGCGTCGTCCTCATTGGAATTGGCATTGTTGATGGATGATGTACAGTATGTTATCAAGACGTTGTTGGCTCTCCTTTCAAAGTATGAAGACAAGATACGACCATCGTTTGAAGTGCTTGAGAGACATGCTGAACAAGGCGGAGGCGATGATGATTATATTGACAATCACTGCAATGATAATAAACTACCAAACACTAAAGGGATACTGACACTGACACGCAATTTAATGAACGCATGCTTAGAAATATGTGCCAATGATATCTACATCAAAGACGTAAGTCAATTGGCAGGAATGACCTTTGCTGCATGTTTCCAATTGGCAGGAACAGCTTCTTTTATAAGCACGCAAATATTTCTGACATTCTTTATCTATAACCGTTCTGCCAATACTATTGCTTCGCTGTTGGTAACCAGATTGCAAGTTAACGTACCAGAATGTCTACAGTCCGACAGCGGTTGGACAAACAACAACACACCAATGCTATTCATCTGCCGTGGATTGTTATCTAATATAGGATATGATGTATTGACAGCGCATTTAGTAAATGCTTCGAATACCGATGTTAGAGTGCTAAGGGCAGATGTCGAGAATCATGTACCAAAGTCGCTTTATCATTTGCTATTTATAAGCGTCGCTTACTTCTGTGAAGCCCAAATATCACCACAAGTTAAACTGATTGCATTCGAAACTATGGGGCTATGGTTGACTGAGACACAAAATATATTTCAAAGTCAAGAGAATACAAAAGAGAAAATAACTATCAACTCAAACGTAGCTAATACAAAGGGTGCTGGAACCCTCAAAACGACATCCGATCCTGTTCACGGCTGTTTCGTCTCTCTGACTGCTGAATCCATCGAATCTCTATTAACACCTACAATTATCTCTGTATTAATTTCTTACGTCTACAACTACTGGGATGATCCTATCAACGCCATCCAACACAAAGTAAAATTTATCTTCCACAGTCTTCTCGATGTCCTCCAACTGAAGGCCACGCTTTGCTCCACATTATCCGAACATGCTTTATTTCTCCAACATCTGATGAAGCAACTCCTCGAATTCGATAAATATCGCAAGGTCAAGTATTCACTCATGTCGATGTTGATTCCGAGAGTAGGAGCGGATGTTGTATTAGAAATGAGGAAAGATGTAATACATGAATGTATCGAAGTAATGGACAATTTAGTTATTGCGTCGAAGGCCTGCGAGGCTGTGAAGGTCTTGTTGGACGCGAAAATGAAGGAGGTTACGGACCAGCGTAACGCCGGGAACAAGGTTGTCAAGTATAGTCATGATTTGATACAATGCATATATTATATGGATCAACGTTCTGTTATTTTAACTGACTTTTTATTCTAAAGAACACTACTGCCGATCGATGGGTTGATCTGTGGTTGGAGCCAGTATGTCGTGCACTTTCGTCAGATAATGTCAATCTTCGCAAGAATATTGATAATCTCCTTCTACCTCACTTATTAAAAGCAACACCTGAAGCGTTTTGGACACTAATTTCAGTATTTCAGTCTGACTCCAACAAAGGCTTTGTCACTAAAGACGAGTATCGACTCCACGCTCTAATTACTACCATCAAAGTAGGCCGCTCGCTTGACCTCATTGACGGAGAATCGCTTGTTAATGGCTCTTCCGTTGATAAAAAGAACAATCGTTTGATTCATACACAATTCTTATATGATTCTATGTATCATCCTGACAAAATGTTACGTGTTGATGCGTTGGGTCTATTATGTGAATCGCACAAACGAACCAGCAGCATCAATTCTATCGAGATATCTCTATTAAAAGAGTTCATTTCTCTCAATTTGAATTCGACTTTACCAGAATTCAGGCAACGATTATTAGCGCATTTTACTAAACTATTTAGTCGATTGCACGGCAATCTATATGGTCAATGGAAAGAATACTTGGGGAAGAAGAAGGCGTACGGAGATGTAGAGGCGGTAATAAAGATCAAACGACGAGTGGATGAAATAGAACATTTTCTGAGATGGCTTATTCATTTATTGGTCCAACAACTTTACCCCGGAGCGTCGTACCAACGGGTATCCACATCACTAAAATTACTTCATCTTCTTATTAAATCTTTCGGGGTAGATTCGACGCCACCACCTACAGGATACACTATTAAGCATGGAAAATTACCCGAGTTTCCCTTTCGACTTCCATTTACCACTCCGCAATTAAGCCTGACCTTGTTTAATCTGTTGATGAATTCATATGTTCCAAATAGACAAGAAGCATATGACGCGTTGCGTACTTTTCCGGCACCATTACCGGGCATTGAGAGTAAAGAGCAAGCACAGGGTGTGCTGAATTGGGCATTCATAAAGTTGAAAAGTGGACGCGCAGCAGAGAGTGATAGTGGCGCTATGGTGTTTCGTATTGTGTTTGTTAAGTATGTGGTCGAGTTGGGATTTGAACTGGAGGTCGACAATGAGATGTCTGGAGCTGGGACTGTAAAGCTGACTGGAGTACCGAGCGGTTAGTAGGAGATAAGTAAGAAGGATATAGAATTAGTAAAGTAAATTAACGGATAATATTATGTACATTATAGTTGCATCACATCCACAAGCTTTCCCTCATTTACATTCTAGTTATACTAAAGTCTATTAATTTTTTTCAGTCGATTTTACAAATAAGCTCTTGGACGTTCTTCACCGTCAGATTACTTTTGCATCCGGTAACCTTCTTGTCGCATCAAGGAAACATCCAATTCAAGGAACTCTTCTTGCTCTCCAATACATATTCCAAGAGCTCTCATACTCTTCACCAATCATCAAGTCTTATATCAGCTACTGGCGCCAAATACATAAATTCGCGCTGAAGCTAATCAAAGATGTCTGTGATGTTGTAATAGACGTTCTCTCAGCTGCCGCTCCCGAAGGGAATTTACTTATGGAAGACGATGAGGTTGACATCGACGTGAGAGTGGTAACCGATGAAGACGAGAATGATCAAGATGACAGTCCTAAGCATCAGGTTCTTTTAAGCTATTGTTGGAGGGCTGTTAAAGAGGCAAGGTGATTGAATCGTTTGACTCGCCAAGTTTAGTCTATTGTATTGGTGGAACCAACCAAATGTCTATCGACAGTTCATTACTAGGCATCATTCTGTCGCGTACTCCTACTACAGTGAATGGCATCAGTGATGAAGTATGTATAAATTATTCAACCGCTACATGCATGGCGTTGATTAATGCTTTGTTCTAATCATATTTATTGACTGACTGCAGTTTTCAATAATTACCTATGAAGATTTCATCTCCTCTGGAAATTTAATTCGTAATTTGTTGACTAGTATTCGACATCGTGGTGCATTTTCGTCCATATATCCTGGATACGCAGCATCATGTTCGAGATTGCTCAATTCGGGTGATAAATCTTTGATAGACATTGCAAGAGGATGGGTTGAGGTAAAAGAACAACAATAAGGAATGCAATGCGATTACCATGTTGTATTAGTTATCTTCTTATAATAATATAATCTTTTTGTAGGCTGACATAGGCACTATCCACAGCAGCAAAGTGTCTATTACACGTAGAAGCGGCGGGCTTCCTCTCTGTATTTTGGCAGTCGCGTCTAACGAACCATCCAACCATCGCATAATCCTTCCATGGACGATGAAAACACTTCTCAGCATAGCGATGATACCACATTATCCAACAACTGATGAAGCGCTCGACCTTCCTCAGGTTCACGCATTCAACTCCATGCGTACCATTTTTATGGATTCTAGACTGGCAACCGAAGTGCTAACGTTCGTAGCAGATGGAATAATGTTGAGTATTAGGGGATTCGCGTCGCATAGTTGGGCAATACGTAATTGCTCCGTCATGTTATTCTCAGCGTTGGTTCAGCGAGTGTTTGGGACAAAAAAAGTGAAGGAAGAACATCATTCTGTCAATAAACTTACGGGCAGGGAGTTTTTCTCGAGATTCCCCAAGTTACACCCATTTCTGATGAATGAATTAAGAATAGCCGTTGAACAGTTGGTTGAAGTATGTGTATCACCGGTGAGGGTTTGACGTTACTGTGCATTATTGTAAAGATGATGATAATTATGTCAATTTTGCCACAGGATGACAAGAAAACGAGTCATATTCATCCCGGGTTATATCCAGTGTTGACACTCTTATCGAGGCTTTATCCAAGTTTGATGGAGAATGCTCACTCAGTATTAAGCTTGTCAACATTTGTTCCACTTGTTATCGAGTGCTGCAAGTCTCGCATTCAAAAGGTATTCATTATTACGACTTATCGTATCCAGGCAGTAGTAATCATTCTCCTACTTGTATTATTTCATTATATTCACTTTTGGCATCCATTCTTTAGACACGAGAGATGGCTGCACGTGCCTTGACCCCGCTTATATCATCTGACAATCTACTTCAGACATGTTTTGATATACTCTATTCGTGCAATCTGTCCAATCAGAACGCACTTCATGGACGGTTAGCTCAGGTTCAGCAACTGTTTCGGGGTCATCTGAAAACCGGAGTAGCATCTTATAAGACTGCAAAATGTAGGTAAATTAAAATTGTATGACGTGATCATTGAATGCATGAAATACTAACCATTGATTTGGATATAGTATTTCTTACCGAGATTCCACACGTATTTGTTGATAAACTCCATATTGTAACCCGCGATAATAAATGTGCTGTGACGAGACATTTGTTTCTGGAAATAATATATGAGTTTGTGTTTGATAACAGTTGGATTACTTTTGGAATCATCGAGTGTCATAGAAAAGGTGATTAATAAAAAGGAGTCATCGTAACTATACGAATTGCGCGTACTATTTAACAATCACTAATTATAACATTATATTTGTTGTAGAATATATCATGCTTATGGACGAAAAGTTTTCGAATCTTCGCAGCATAGTGTTCGATCTATGTCGATCGGAAATCTCTCCCGATTGTCATAACGTTGCGTCCATTTCATATCATTTAGTGAGAGAGACTATGGCGAAAATCATTGTCAACTATATTCTCTCTCACGAGACATTTACTGCTGATAATTGTAACACGATCGTCGAATTGTTAGCAGATAAAGATTATGACGTACGTGGATGCGTCCTGAATCAGTTGATTCAAAGGATCAAAACTGTGAATCAGTAAGTTTTTCGCTTGATGACATTGTTGTATTAGTACGCACGCACATCTGACATTCGTTAATCTCTACCATAGATTCAATTATACTACTTTACAAAAGAAACTCGTTAGAATGATTTGTGACGGAGAACCATCTATGGACTGCCTTCAACGTACAGTTGAGCTGCTTATTCTGCTTGACCCAGAACATCCTATTCCGCCGGCCAGCAGCGAAAGTGATATTGGGATACACGATTTTTGGAGAACTATAATAGAATCTTACTTAGAGCGTATGAACAGCCTATTAGTGACAGAATCAATGTTACCTCTATTGGGTGCGGTTCTGTCTCAAGCATGGTTGCAAGAATCATCAATAGAGATGAAAAGCCAATGCTTTACGAAATGGGTTGAATATGCAGACAAATACAGTCAAGCAGATATAGTATGTAATCTTTAATTACAAGTGAGTCCCAAAACTACGACCACAACCTTGATGTACATTTACTAATGACGTTTATCGTTTTGATTAGAACTTGCGCTTGCGTGAATCAACAATGCAATCGCTCTACTTTTTTTCTCCATTTCTGTTTAAGGGCAGGAAGACGTATGATGAGAGAATCACCCAACATGTGATGATGCTATATGTAATAATTATTCGATTTGTGCAAGTAAGTAGGATTACGGATTGCCAGATATGATAGATACGCCAAACACTCAATTATCAAAATCTGATGCACCCTCATTTAGGATGACGATATAAGCATCAGGGAAAGTGCGGCAATGTTAATATCGAAGTCGATGGAATTGAAGGTAGATATTTTTTATGTCATTATGTTGTTTGCTTATTCGTCCATATTTGCTCAACACTATAAATCTCAAGGTCCCCGTAAATTACGAAAAAGCGCGCGAGATGTGTTACGAGTACTTGACAAAGCAATATTCAAGGTCACTATACTTTTACGCCTCATTATTGAAAATACTCACCGCTGAACACAAGCCAGGTATCATTTTTGTAAATCTGCGAAATTATTGTCATGACACATAAGCTGTTTGTTGATTGTTGTTGATTTATTATATTATAGATGCTATATTAACAAATGCAATGAGTCCTCAACGTACGTTATTTGCGGTCGAGAATCCAAATATCTTTAAAGAAGACCTAATTGATGTCCAGCTATCATTCAGATGTCTTTGCGATGCAACGGCAGATGCTGACATACTGCAAATTCCAGACGTAATTTGCAACGATATACCTCTATTTGCTGTAGGGCAATTTAAAAGTGCTATAAACATATTGAAGAATGCCGTAAGTAATATCTATTGTCTTGTCAGAGAACATTAATTGTCAAGGCTATTTCTAAAATTCATTCAGAACAATCAAGGACCACTGGGACTGACTTCAAGATCAGACGTCTTCCTTGTGACTTATAGAACTATTCTCATGGTTATACTTGGATTGCGTATAGCAAATAAGAAGCGAAATGAAATTGAGAGGGGTATGTATACAATTCATTGACCACTCGGTTGTAGCGTGAATTCAATTCTAATGCATTTCTACTTTTATTCATGGGACAGGATACAATGATATCATCGATCATGTCCAGCAGAATATCCAAATATTACATCCTTTACTGTACGAGTTGCTGATAAACAGTGTCTATAAAGACAAACATGGGAACGTACCGTTATTTCTTACGTCTAGCATCACTCAGAGTAGCATTCAGACAGACATGAAAGTTTAGATTATTCAATCTCACAACTGTACAATTTTATTTATTAATGCTATAAATATAGAGTTGATATCGATTGGGAAAATACGATATTAGATGAATGGTACAATAATTACATAAATAATATTATAAGGAGAGCGTGGCCACTGCAATTGGGTATTGTAATAGAGATATATATACTATAAGCGCATTGATAGACTGTCCAAAATCCTGAGAATTAGCTCATTATATAAATAATAATTCCACCCCTACGGATTACCAATAACCTGATCTTTACATAATTATTTCTCCGACGCATAACTCTGTTAATCGCGCCCAACACATTCATGGTAAATGTCATCCTGTCTTATTCCCTGTTTAATAATCTTCATCTTCGTAACCCTCTTCATCAATCACATCCATTATTTGGTCCAATTCCGCTACTGCTTCTACGCTTGCACGATGATTGCTCAAGTATAGATCCTTCAGCGTACCTCCTAATTCCTCCCCAATCATATGTAAGAACGTATCATTTACAATAGGTATGTTATGAAGATAGAGCGTCTGCAGCTTATTACATCCTCTTAGTATCTCTGAAAACGCTCCTTCACTGAAAAGAAAACATGATATATCAAGGCTAGTTATGTTAGGACAGTAACAACCAATTGCTGTAACTAGATCGGACGATTCTCTGGATGCCATAGCATTGGAACCAATTTCCAACCTATGCAGTTGATGTCCGATCAACCTCAACATGTAGATTAAAGCATCAGCTTCAATTGGAAGAATGTTACGCTCAAACTCGGCCAAGTTCTTCGCATGATCACCCAATGCTCTAATACCGGCAGACATGTCGAGCAACTGCTGTGTCAATAATTCGTCGTCCTCGCCAACATAATAATTAGCTCGCTTTATGTGAACCTTGCGTAGAGTCAATTTAGACATTTCTGCTATCGTCGCAATTACGGCAGCTGGAATATTTGTACCCGAGAAATCGACATTATGGAATTCACAATTTCTAGCAACCGGCATCATCGAAATGGATGAATTGGTCGTGAAATCGCTTGCGTTTCTGATATATAACGATCTGAGTTGCTTGCATGCGGCTATTCCGATGAATGGTTTAGAGCACGAACTCATTCTACAGGCAATTATCCTCAACTTTACCAACGAAGCAGCTTGAGATCCGATTGCTTCTTCCAGAGTCGATTTGATATCACCGGCAAGTCTTATTTTTAGCTTTATCAATCTCTTTTGTGAGCTGATAAAATTGGCCAATGCCTCATCGCTACATCTGGTAGCACGTATTTTAAATGTCTCGAGTTGATTACAATTCGCAGCAAGAACTCTTAAGTCTTCATCGGTACATTCGAAATAACCCAGGTTGAGATATCTCAAATCGACACCACGAGCGTGGAGGGAAGTTGCCATAAACGCCAGCTGTCCAGGTCTTTGAGGATATGATGATTTCTCGGCTGATTCTTCGAAAGTGCATGCTTTGATTTGTGCTTTTTGCACAAAGGCCTGGAACAATTCATTGAACTTGCGGTACAAGAACTCTTGTGAATTATCCATGTTCGGAGTGTGACGATTCCAGACTTCTACACATTTATACAGAGCAGGTACGTGGAGGTTTTTTACCATTGATACATAATCCCAGAGAGGAATTTCGAACTTGCTAGTAGTTACAAGGTAGGTGTCAGGACGAGAACGTCTGGTTGGACGATCGATAGCAATCGTGGTGGAATTATTTGTTTCGTAGCTTTGTAGACATTTGTTAAATGTATCTATTAATTGTTTAGCACGTACTGGCTGATTAACAAACTGATGTTGCCATCTTGTCCAGGGGTCTTTATACAGGTGTTCCACAGCAAGAGCGCTCCACTGTTTTTATATCAAGATGAAATTTTAAGAATTGGAGGTTACATACTACTGCTACAATAATTGAATGTAAATAGTATAATCCACACTAAAGAGTAAAATGTTCATTATCTACGTTTGAAATCATTCATTGCACACATACTTCTTCTTTTTTGGAGACACCCACCCGAATATCTAATTCATTTTCATTTCACTTTTGCCTATATTCACTCTTGCTGATTTAAACAACGCGAGTATGAGATCCCTTACTAACCTGCCTGTTCAGCATTAGGAATTGACGTAACAAACACAAAGCATCATCTCTCTCAACAAACAGTGATAGCATATGTCGACGTACGTCAATATTAAGAATATCCATAGTGATATCAATCGAAGAGTGGAAAGGTTGAAACTGACGACAGGTGAAATTTTGGCCGAGTTACACACTCATCAAGATTCATAGCGTACACAGTAACAGTAACACTAATATTAAGATATGAGTGGATGATAGCGGTTCGGAAGGGTCGGAAAGTTTTCTTTAATTGTCTATACAACTGTTACACAAGGTTTGGTGCTAACGCCAACAGGCAACTGAAATACAGTGCGTTATTTAGTATTTGCCTCCATTTGTAGCACAAATACAATGGCTATTAACGTAAAACATTGATAAAGTTTTGGTCAAGATCTGGAATACGAGAAGTTCTATTCAAAAATTAGCATCCATCAAACAGAATAAATCTAAAGCTGCTAAGAAAATATGTAAGCTGCAGAAAGGATGAAGAGCGATATGATTCAAAATCGGCAGAGTAGGATAAACAACACATTCGACTAAATGACCAGATAGAAGTTGGAGGATAGGGGAGGTACAAATTACTCTCGGGTCACACTGTTAGTAAATTGCAACTGGCCGAGAGGTAAACACTAAGGGTTGTAATGTATTTTTCCGCGCTTTGCGATCAACGTAAGGTTGATGAAATTGTGCAATAGAGGTCCATGTGATAAAAGATATTGCTTGAAATAACACACGAGACTACGTTAAATATAACAAATTTATGTCTTTGTCCTTGCCAAGATTTTATTTCCGACGTTTAATTTTAGGGACACTACGAAAAACGGATAGATTTAGATAAATGACATGGGAGTACGCTATATTATTTCTTGCCTGCATGTTCCTTTTATTTACCTTCAAACCAAGGCAAACGGACCACTATTCTCTTCGCCAGGAGACTGTACTCACATTCTTTATAGTAACAATACAATTCTTTTTGCTTAATTTTTATTTGTGTTGTACTTTACTAGCTCTTGTTAAAAAGAAAATTTGAGCATCATTAAATTGTTATTTCAAATTATTGAAATGATATCATAGTAAAAGACAATAGCATCTAGGTAAAAGCCTCTAACTTGAGGCTTTTTTCCTCTCAAATTTTTACAATTACTGTTGTATCCAACCCGACTCTGCTATGGTCATGTATTAGTGCGTCAGACTGTAAGCAAATTGTGCTATTTAATAAAAGTTCCAATATTTACGTAAACAAACGACAAAAAAATTTCTCTCCACTTCCTGATTGCCATCTGTCCTGTGTTGCAATTGCCGATGCTATGGTATCGTAATAAATATGTAGCCGTCCGTTTCGAAAGATTTCACATCACTTAACTCGTTCCACTATGAAAATCAAAAACCGTCAAGGTTTGTCATAATAATTTATGAGTCAAAAGAACGCCAGTGCGCAGATGTCGTACCGCTCTGCAGGGTATGGTTAAAGTACGTGCGGCAATAGTTGTGTTTGACAAGCGCTGCAACCAATCGTTCCAAATTTTCAAAATGCACGTTTTTATCTATCTGGCCATGGACAATGAGCAACCGGTTCTCACCATGCACCTTGGCTTTTCGAGAACTAATCTAAAACTTCTCACGCTTTTCATCCATGACAACAACGTGAACTATACAATTCTGTTAGACATACTATAGCTGTCGAATCTGCTGATAGTGAAAAACTAGCAACATACAAGTGCGTTTCAAGAAATGTGCCCTTCTTGGCAATGAAGTAGCTTCGATGTGATGTGTTCCATTAATTGTGCCCATATTGCTGTAAATTTTATATATAAATTGCTACACCAATAAATAGTAGAATAAGTGTTAATATATGTATTATTTGCAATGTGCACTTTATTACAATGGGTATTATATTATATTCCTCGACCAATTACAAACCTTTTCCCATCGGGCATCATCCAAATCTGATAATATACTTTTCCCCATAAAGTTTATGCACGGGAGCAAATGACGCTACCTTTACCTTTAATAAGTTTAGTCTTTAAAAAAGCAGAAAGAATTAGTCAATCTGAAAATACACGTTCACATAACCAAAACTTAAAGGTAATATTTACCTCGCTATCACCATTATCATAACCGAAGTATGAATTCCACCAGATGCAAGTCACTTACAGCATAAGTCACTTACAGCATTATTTATGTCTTGAAAAAAATATATGGGAGAAGACATGCAATTGCGTGGATCGATAAGATATCATTAAACAATAAGTTTCCTTTGCCCTTATTTTCTTTATCTCCATCTCTCTTGCACGTCCCATTTTTGGGATACCTCTTGTTTTTACACCATCTGCTAAATTTATCCTATGCTTTTCTTTCTATCGCCTTCTCTCCCCCCCCCTACTCGAACATTATAAAAAGAAATACAAAACGTGAAATTTTCAAGTGATGACTTTCGAATTGTTTCCAATGGCACTCGTTGGATAACGTTGTTTCCACTTCTCCATGCTTGTTTACTGATGGCGGTGCCCAATAGTAGCCGGTGAAATTCTTCCCTTGATGTAAGCAAAGAGATTGAGTAGGTAATGGTTAGATTAAAATAATAAATAACCAAGAGAACGAATGGAGCCAATCTATCGGTCTATTCTTTTTAATATACCTACATGACATACTTGGTAATCTCACAACTTAATGCTTTTCTTCCTGCATCTTGATGCTCACTACAGAAAGTCTGCCTTATTTATACCCTTTCATTGTACATAATACAGTTTGTAAAGAAAAAAACTGGAATAGGAATATTATTCACTGTGCCCCAATGGATGAACCAAATTGCATGATTTATAGTTTATCTGTGAGCTGAAAACCAACAGCTTTTATTAATAACTATTTAATAAAAATTTCATTTTTCACCTATTTTCAATAATAAGTTCACAACGATTTTTCCTGGATGCTATAAGATTAATTAGAGTAGTTTCTGGAATATCCCTTCATTTCTCCACCATAAAATGCTCCAACTTGTCAAGGTTCTTGGGCATCCACTTCTCCATGATAATCGGGACAGCTTACTAGTACTAGCTTGATCAAAATCAACGCTATTCCGTTATTGGAGTGTCCGGTCTAATAATCAATTATTTCGACGATAGAAATAATAATAAAATGTATATTTAATAAAGGATTGTGGGAGAATATTACTAAGATCCGTAATATTTTATTTATTTCACAACATGGATAATATTACAACATTAACAACTAAAAATTTAGTGATGGAATATGAGCTACTTATATATCTTCGAGCGTTGCGGAAAAAGCGCAACGCTCTTTTAGCTATTTCTAATTATAGTATTTTGTGCTGTTGCGGATTTTCGCAACATTTTCGTAATGTAACGTGGCGCCGTTGCGGATTTTTCGAAACGCCGTTACAGTCAACTGCCGTTAATTCGGACACCAACTTTCCGAGGTCATTGTTCGAATTAATATTAACGAATAATCGATTTATGGTCGCACAAAAGACCTAGTAAAGTTTTTATTCGATAGAAGACTGTTTATACTAATACGATAACCTACGATAACATGAAACTTGACTTCCCTACTTTACACTTGTTTGCCAGATTACGATAGGATATAGAAGGATTATCTCTTTGACGTTATATTTCCTTCCTTTGTACGGCAGTTAAATGGGTATAATTGAACGGTTGAACTAAACAGTCAGTGACCTTGTTAATCTCAAGGCTTTTACTTACGATAACTCAGCGTCGTTAAGCGTATACTAATCCTAGATAATATAACTGTCCTCGAGTTCAAAGGCACTGTGGGATTACGTCAGTAGTCTGTCTGTGTGGGGTCTCAAAACTAAATAATATAAGCGCGTTTTCTAAAACAATTAAGTTATCGTAATAAATGCCACTCGGATAAGAGGCAATTATCCTTCGTTGATATACGGATTGGCGGTTTCTCAAATAATTTAGAGAATAGGGGTGTCAATAATATGTTCAGAGTAAATGTGATACTCGTTTATTAACAAGATAATGATATATGACTAAATATCAAGGAAGCAAAACACACCCAACTTTAGAAACTTGCGCTGCTTTTATATCTTTCGATTTCACTAATTAATATATTTTTAGTAGCACTGACCAATTATCTATCTGTTAGGATTGCTGTCGCCTGATGTCTTTAGATGTACAGTGAAACCTCTTTATACCGGTCAGCCCCGTCCATGGGATTTTTTGGCCGGTATAAGGAGAACCGGCATAAAGGTATAAAAGGCAAGTGATACAAGAGTACATATAAGGGCAATTCATTGTTTAATAACATAGCCACTGTCATAGCTTCTTCAAGTTGAGGCCACTTTGGGGGACGTTTCTTCTTAAATTGTGCTGATGAATCATTTTTTTTAATAGATAACCACTTATCTTTTTCACGAAGTATGTCACCAATTGTACTGCTTCCGCAAGCAAATATTTCCGCAATTTGATTATAAGAACAATAAGGATTTCTTGACTTGAATTGACAAATTTCCTTTTTCTGTAAAGCGGTGAGTGAAACTCTGGTTTTGTTTTTATTCGTTTTATTTATTGATTGGAAAGAACGTTTTTTACGTGCCATGGTAAATAGAAGAAAGCAAAAGTAGAAGAACACATAGAAGGTCTATTTATTGTGTTACATGATCGACCGGTATAAAAAGGATAATTATATATATTTTATAATAGTATGACGAATTTTGTCAAGCAAAATTTCGACCGGAGCCGGTATAGACAATTTAATTAATGATGGCCGGTATATAAAGGGGAAATTCATATGTGAAAATCCGTTCCTGAAAATTTTGGCCGTTATAGCAAAAACCGGTATAACCGGGGGACGGTATAAAGAGGTTTCACTGTACTATTGAGACAGAAGAGGTTGTTATTGATGAAGAAGAAATTGTAAGACACGTCTAATTTTGATAGTTGTAATGAAGGTAGTGACATTGAAATCGAAAAAAATTTCTCATTCTACGGCATTGAAACAATACAAATTACTTCTGCAGTATGTAGAACAGCAAGACCCCGCCAAATCGTAGAAGAGCAAGACATGCCAAGATTGCAAAGTCTGTTGCGACGGACGCATTCAATCGAGGCGATGCAACAAAAAAAGTTAACAGATTTTTTCATCAAAGAGAGAGAGAACCACAATTCATAAGAGGTGAACAAATTGGTTTAGTTTCTATGGAGAAAAAAATAAAGAAATTTTTATTATAAATAAAGTTTAAGATTTAATTCGAGACATAAGTACACAGTGAAATTCACTTTAACGAACTTTCACTTTAACGAAGATTGCTTATAACGAAGTATTTTTCTGGAACCAGTTCACTCTTAAAAGAATAATTTCAGATTAACGAATGTTTATAGTGTAATTGATTATAATGAAGAACAAGACTCACGCATTATGAGAGAAATTGTAGCAACTATTCAAGGGCGTTCAGAAGAAGAAGAGAAATTGAGAAAGGTATCATCAGCAAAAGCAATTAATAATATTGACAGTCTTTTGTTATACATGCAACAAGAGGAATTAAACGTAGAATTGCAAGGATTCAATTTACGCCATATTAAAATCAACCAATTTTATTGGATATTCAATATCGATGAATCATGTAAATTATTCGGAATAACAAAAATTTTGCGGAACAGACGACTTAATACAAATGACATCATTATTTAAAACCCCCGCATATATCAACGAAATTGGCCGGTCCCGTGGGGTTGATATTAGAGAGGGTTCACTGTATATATATTGGTGTGTAGGGCCGCCCGATTTCATCAGTTGGATAAATTTAATATTAGAATGCATTTCACGACTGCTAGTTGCAGGAATCATATGACTCCTGATCAATAAAATTTGGTGTTCGATAAAAGCAAATTTATGCTTTCTCGTAATTGCATCTTAAGGGTAATATAATTCTTTATTTTTAACCAGCTTTGTTATTAATGTTAACGTTAATTCATCTTTTTTTTTTGGTGGATTAGATTATAGTATCCAAATGCTACGAAGGATGAAGGTTATTAATAATATGACCCAGACTTGAATACACAGAAGGCGTATTTATGCTTTAATTAACCTGTGAGAGGTTTTAATTGGGAAAGCAGAACAACCGATAAACGTTTACATAAAAATTGGGATAATGTTATTGTATCGGTATGTGATTAGTAGAAGGTTTGTTTAAAGAATTGTTTTCAAAAAATTTCCCAGTGTAGTTGTCGACATATTACAAAATTGTATCCCTCGCACCGCTAAAGTTTCGTTTCTTCAGCATTACTTTTAATCCATTAAGATTTTTATTAGTTAGGCGATTATCTCATCTTCCTGTATCTTCCATAACTGTCGGGGATTCAAATGCGTACTAATTTGTTATTGGCACTTTTTCTAGTAACCATATTGTAAAATAATTTTATTATCGACGATTGTATGCTGATAAGACACAGGTCACTCAATGTTGCTAAGTCGGGCACAAAGTGTAATTAAACGGTATACAAATTTCGACACTATCTTTTCGGAATTGATAGCATAGTATTATTATTGTTATCGTATTAATTACGGCGTGTGTGGCATGGGTACTATTTTTGCTTCCCTTTGACTTCTAATCTAATTTCTATAACGAGTTACCAATTGGCGGACAACAATTAAACTTTCTAAAAAAAATTTCCTTTATTTAGCTGACAAATTCATTGTGCATACACAGTTAACTCAGCAAAGAGTTTTAGGTCTCTAATCAAGATCTAAGATAATGTTACCGACTACTCACAATATATGAAGAGTCATAGTTATTAGTCAATTGTATAAATCAATAGTCTTACTACTTTAATAACAACATGTAAAAAAATAATGTTATAATAAAATAAACGATAGCAAACAACAGATTAACAAGAAGAGCCACTAATTGTGACAAGTTAAATTTAGTGAATTAAGAGATATACAGCAAACAGAATTAATGCCGACGTGTTGAGGTTAAACATTAGGCAATTGTCACTACAGTTAGATCTATGATGAGGAATATCCAATTCGATATATAAAGCATTTGACTAGATCATCTGAAGATATAATAATGGTGATTGCAGTACGTCGGGTATTAGGGTCAAGGATACCACAGTAGCTACAGTCAACCCCTTATGGATCACAAAAAAAGTTACTATTACCAGTTTACAATGTCAAATAAATTTATTATATATAAAACAAAACTTTACGCTTGTTTGAATGTTTTGCAACTCAGTTTGAATTCAATTTCTTTTGTTACATGCTATCTTTTTGATATCCAAATCAATAAAATGTTTATGAGCGTATGACTGCGAATATTACAGCAGTGTGAATGTGCTGTGATGACGGACGACTCACATTTCGCGTAACTCTGTTGTACCTTAGTTCGGGACCATCTCAGTCCAGAACTCAGTCATCTCAGTCCAGGTCTCCACATTTCTGGATCACCATTTAAGTTATATATTAATTAGGTGCCAGAAATGACGGATTTGAGAGAAACTGGCACCTGAACGCCGCATTAATAGTAGCAGTCGTAAACAATCAGTTCTTAGATTTATTTGTAAGAAATGGGCACCTATGCAACACGTAGTCAATTTTAGAGAAGCGACACCTCGAAGCTTATATAAGCAACTTAGTTTTCCGGCGTGTCTGGTAATTGTTATTATTTCTTATCAATAAACGAGTAGTTTTTTATACTCTGAATATAAACAATTATTTAGTATCGACGATATAGTCAGAAACCGTTAATTCCTTATCGTTAGGAGTATTTGCCTCATGCACACGTGGCGTTGAGATTCATACGAACGGAATCGGTGGACATATTCGAAGAAGAACGACATATTTATCGAGGATTGGCGTTATAGATCGAATAGATAATCGTGAATTGATTAGGTCAATAACTGTCGTTACATTTAACTTAGCGAGTAGGAGCAGCTAAACCTCCGTTGAAAGGAATACTCTAAGCGTTCATTCAACGGCTTGCCCAAAAGAATGCCTCTTATTCTGCCGCGTTCCTCTTTGTAAGTGTCAATAGTTATCCGGACCGTTGGCATGACAGTGCCAAACTGATCTTGAAACACTATCTGAGCTATTATGCAAAAATTAAGGAGGAATATATTAATATATCATAATTTAATATTAGCCTCCACTGAGCTAAATTGATCTTGCAGGTAACTGAACATAATAGTAGGATGCACTTTCATTTTTCATTGATTTTTTGCGCAACTAGGACAACACAATTGCAACGGGCACATTTTAACATCTATTACAGTAATAATTTGAATGCTGCATATTTTTCATATCCAAATTTAACAATATCTTTAGTAATAAAATCAAAAACATGCTATTATTATTATAACTACATTTATATCTGTGCCTCAACTGTTATTCTGTAAAGAATCAGATAAATCTTTAACAGGGGGCATTTACTTATCTAAATAACTAATTAGAAAAGGCAGATATTTAATGCTAGAGCCTTTGCTAAAGCTGCTGCTCCTTTATCTCCGATCTGATTGTTATATAGATTCAAAGAAGTCAGAGAAGAATTTGATTCTAGAGCCTTTTACCTTTGCCAAAGCTGCTGCTCCTGTATCTCCAATACAATTTTCAACTAGATTCAAAGAATTCAGAGAAGACTTTGACTCTAGAGCCTTTGCCAAAGCTGCTGCTCCTGTCTCTCCAATATAATTACCATGTAGATTTAAAGAATTCAGAGAAGAATTTGATTGTAGAGCCTTTGCCAAAAACTGCTGCTCCTTTATCTCCAATCTGATTATCCTTAAGATTCAAACAAGTCAAAAAAGAATTTGATTCTAGAGCCTTTGCCAAAGCTGCTGTTCTAGTTCCTGTATCTCCAATCTGATTATATTCAAGATTCAAAGAAGTCAAAGAAGAATTTGATTGTAGAGCCTTTGCCAAAGCTGTTGCTCCTGTCGTTCCAATCCAATTACAATAGAGATCCAAAGAAATCAGAGAAGAATTTGTTTCTAGAGTCTTTGCCAAAGCTGCTGCTCCTTTATCTCCAATCTTATTATCCTTAAGATTCAAACAAGTCAGAAAAGAATTTGATTTTAGAACCTTTGCCAAAGCTGCTGCTCCTGTCTCTCCAATCTGATTGCCATGTAGATTTAAAGAATTTAAAGAAGAATTTGATTCTAGAGCCTTTGCCAAAGCTGCTGCTCCTGTATCTTCAATATGATTATACTCAAGATTCAAAGAAATTAGAAAAGAATTTGATTCTAGAGCCTTTGCCAAAGCTGCTGTGCCTGTATCTCCAATCTGATTATCACTAAGATCCAAAGAAATCAGAGAAGAATTTGATTCTAGAGCCTTTGCCAAAGCTACTGCTCCTGTTTCTCCCAAACCATGATAACTCAAGTTCAACATTTTACGCAAAATTAATGGCTCATTGTGCAAAGATTTTAATTGCTTACATACTTCTTCACTCAATGGTCTTTTGTTAGGATCATTGTCCCAACATTTAGAATATAGTTCAATGTACTTTTTTGGTGTTTCTGGAAAAGGAGGATCTCTTAAGCCTTTCAATCTATATAAAACAATTTCAAAACTTTGAATTCGTCCTTCACAGGGACTTTTCCCACTAGATATTTCCCATAATATTACTCCAAAACTAAAGATGTCTGACTTTATCCCTCGTTTATATGATTCATTTTCAAAGGTGACTGGATCAATATATGCTGTACTGCCTTCACCTCTTGATGTAGATACAGTTTGTTTTAACATGCTAGACAACCCAAAATCAGTAATCTTTGCAATGTCCCCTTGAATAAGAACATTTGCAGAAGACTGTACACATACAAGTAATATCATGCATTACTTATACTATAATTATAATGCAAATAGTTATTTTATGTGCATAAATAGATAATATAAACACCTTACCAGATCTTTATGAACAATATCAAGCACATGTAGGTATCTCAACCCATTTGCAATGTCCAGACCCAATTTGTACATTTCTTTCCATGTTAAATCAGTAAAATGCCTTGCTAGATGTGCACATAGATTTCCGCCATCAGCAAATTCAAATACCATGTGATAATTGTGGGAGGTGTCTACTCATAAATCGAAGTAAGTCATAATTCTATAAAGTTTAACATTGCATTTAACTCGCCTTGATATACTGACCTTTGCATAATCCTAAAAATCGGATAATGTTCGGATGGTCATCCACTTTCTTATGAGTTTTCAACTAATATACACAAAATCAGTTTATTTTAGATAGTGATTTACCGAGTGACGACTGCTAACAGTAATAACAATAATAACACAAACCTCCTTGACAAACTTCTTGTATAATTCTTGCTCATCGCTATATGCGTTCAGAGATAACATCTTCATTGCGACGGTTATGTCGTTGTACTTTCAACTGTGCCTTGTACACAACTCCGAACCCACCGTGGCCGACAAACATACGGTTTAAGATTTCACTTTCTAAATAACACTTGATTATTCCATCTTCACATATTTTATCTAGCCATTTCTTATTATTATCCATGTTCATTAATGTTTGCGTTAAGACATTACGATTGATGCACTATATAATATGTCACACAAGAATTTATGATAGTCACACAGAGCGACAAAGGAATATATTTACTTCGGCCGCCCTTACTATCGATAATGACTTGGCTGTCATTGAATCGATCCAGATGCTCGTTGCTTCTTCTAACAAAGGAATTTGACTCGATGTTTTAAAAAATATATATATATTTTTTAGCCGCTCCTTCAATACCAAACCATTTATCTACTATCTTACTGACAGTTGTCCAATGTTAAGATCATACTTAGTATTAAAATGACCTGAAATTCAGCAAGTTATCTTATGAAAGGCACTGGATCATAATAAACTCATTGTAAGTGTGCACCACTACGATATCAATTTCTTCTTTTATTACATATTACTAAGCTATACTCATAAATGCATCCCTCTCTAAATGCACGCTCCAGCTCATTCCCAAGGGCGTGCATTTAGAGAGGGTTGACTGTACATACAATACATCAGCTAAATACAGAAAACAATCAACCTCGACTACGATCCAACAATACATAAAACTGACCAACTTGTCGTCAGATATCTTACAGTTATCTTTTTATAAAGATACGGTCGATTTTATTGGTTTTTATTGTTTATTTTATTTGATTCATGTTATTGTCCATATAGTTTTTATCATTACATTATTTAAATAGAGTCACACGCAGATGTATCCTCATCTATCATAATGTCACGAGTACGTGTATAATAAAATCTTGTCGACGCTTGCGTTTGTAATTTGAATTCAAATTTTCAGTCTTATGCCATTAACAAAACTTCGTCATGTACTTAACCGGCTGGATAAATAATACAAACTGCTGTCACTCTTCATGTATTTCCTTTTGGAACTAAAGTTAACAAAATTCTTAACTAAAAAGGGGCGAAGCCCCCAAAAAAATTTAGTTAATAAAGATTAAATATGTGCTTCCATAGTGTTCTACAATCGAATGCTAGAAATTCTATCCCTATAAACAGTATGATCTGCAACATTCAAATTGGAAAAACTTTTGTTTTTTTGGACGTCCTATTCATATTAACCTTCATTATAAAGAGTTATAAATAAAGAATTATGATATACAGATAAAGAATTATGATATACAGATATACATAAATTAGTTTACAATCCACGCTATGAACGTCCTCGTGAAAAGGTCAAATTCTAAATACATCGATATGTAATAAAATCATCAACTTGGTGAAAAGTTTCATGTGTAAGGGTTTTCTCCTGCCTAAATTACGAATATGATATTAATGCTGGTGGTCAGATTAATAAAAATAGCAGAAAAACGGTCAGGTTTTCTACTTACGACTCCTATTGTCCGCCGTCCTTGTAGGCTCAGTTGTTATTGTATTAAGTGTAATTGGTAATGCATTTCCTGCAATGCAGAAAAATATGTTAGTACTCGACCAGTATGTTAGGAATATAGTTCAGTTCAATGTGATCACATCATACCTGAACTGCCAAAAATTTCATCGGCAAGCGTTTTGAGTTCGCGTGTCCATGTCATAGGACTTGCTTGCTCTAAAAAGACAAACCCAATCGTTTAACAAACACCTATCCATTCACCTTTAAATACACGTTAACGCCAGCTCACGAAATAGAATTACCTTGAGCTTTGGACCTTTCTTCAGCTATTTCAATGAGACGATTGTCAAGACAGCATTGATATAGAGCTTCCCCTATTCCGCATTTTAGAACATGTATTTGCATATAGTTAGGAAGACAGAAAATCTTAACTACACTTACGATGTTCATCCAGTTTATTTAAAAGCTCATGCTGATCAGCGGATAGTGGAGGAATTGGTTGACTCGTGCTACGCTCAGGTATACTATGTAAACCAAATTCATTCTTTTGCTTTGCCGAATTTACTGATTTCTTGTTAGCAAAAGTCTTGGGGCAACGCAGCTCTCCGTTTGCGATATTTTCAATCCAACTATCAAATGTCCTTTCTAATTCACGCGATGTAGGTCGCATGTCAGGGTCTTGATCCCAGCATGCTTGCATAATAATGGAATAATAGGCAGGCATGTCCGGGGGAATGTCAGGACGGGTTCCTGTTTGTAAGAATCGTTGTAGTTTTATCAAAATTCTACAAGAAGCAACTACTGAACTAAGACACAACAATGTACCTGAACATATATCTACTGCTAAATGTACATCATAATCTTTTCCTTCAAATGGTGGTCTACCTGACCATAGTTCGTACATAATCATTCCAACGCTATAAACATCGGTTGCTCGAGTGTATGGCATTCGTCGTAAAACTTCTGGTGCTACATAGGGAAGCACACCCTGAATCGTCTTTTCATTTTCAGTCATAGAAGCCTTATTCCAACAAAGACCGAGATCGCTTATCATTGTCCAAGTACCGGATCGTAGAATGTTGCCAGTGTGCAAGTCTTTCTTCGAAGTTGGTAGCGAAAGAAGAGAGTATTGATCTGTCAGTTATTATTGGTGCATAAAAAACACTATCTAATAATCATCATAAAACTCGTATTACATGCAACAGTCCCACTTTATGAATGGTCACTAAGCCACTTGCAATGTCTCTGAGAGTGATGATTTTTCTTTGTAAAGTAAAACTATCAAAGTTCTTGGAAATATACTGCCGGAGATCTCCATCCTCAGCATATGATGTGACGACAATAAACTCATTAGTGGATGGGCAGCGCGAGATGCCATAACAACGTACGACGTGTGAAACCAACGTGCTGAATTTGTGGTATGCACCCAACTAGTTGACAAAACAATGAGCAGATGTTAGCAAAACCATCAACAAAGTAGAAAAACAATATTATATTAACATGCCTCTTTCAGAAAGCCCATCGTCGCTTTATTAGCATTTTTTATACGTTTCAATATGACTACGTCCGGATTTGCCTGACCCCAGCCTCGCTTCCATTCATTGGCATTTGCGTCCAATGTCCGAATAGGTCCTCGAGGCCAATATGCTGTAAATCTAATCAAGTATGCCAATAATTAGAATAATATGAGATTAGCTATCGACACAAGAGATAGATAGATATAGACATAATCCAAATACACCTACACTGAGCTGTTACCACCATTTGCAAGATGCTCCACGTTTGTGAATTCTTTATAGTCTATCCATTCCAAGACAGATCTGACATTGGTTGCCTCAAGTTGAGCTTCTTGAATAAAATTGTCAATTTCTTCGGAGCCACTTGTCCAATTCGAAAAATTATTCTGAAACAGTTCACTGTTGCAATAATTACAGTAATTGTATCCTGTTCTTGATGAAAAGCATTCTTCACATTGACCAAAGTTCCCCATTGGTCGTAAATTAGAAAATCTGCCTGAATGACGTTGTGGTCTAACAGTGTCTGGGTTCAAGTTTCGCAGGAGAAAGAGAGCAGCATGTGATAGAGGTGGCTGAGTTGTGGCTGACATGATGTTAGTGGTAGTGACATTAGGAGACAAGGCTTGTGTTGGGGCATCAATTTCTTGGGGACAATTCTTATCCAACAATTCTCCTGCTTGAACTGGTTGAGGTGGTTGTGTTGAGACTGGCTTGCCATTAGTGGTAGTGACATTAGGAGATAGCTGAATTGAGGTGGCCAGCTTGCCATTAGTAGTAGTAACATCTGAATCATTTTTTGTTTCTAAAGGATAATTCTTATTCAATGGTTCTCTTCCTAGAAATGGTGGAGATGGTGTATACGCGACATTTTCTGTTTCTTGCAGATCGTAATAACTCTTATCCAACCCATACCCAGTGGAAGGGGATGCGTGTCGTGGAGACGCGTGTTGTGAAGCTGGTGCGCTCATAGTGGAATTGACATAATTCGGCGCATTTGGGTTTTGAGGATAGTAGTCTGGTGCGCTCATAGTGGAATTGACATAATTCGGCGCGTTTGGGTTTTGAGGATAGTAACCTGGTGCGCTCATAGTGGAATTGACATAATTCGGCGCGTTTGGGTTTTGAGGATAGTAACCTGGTGCGCTCATAGTGGACTTGACATAAGTCGGCGCGTTTGGGTTTCGAGGATAGTAACCTGGTGCGCTCATAGTGGAATTGACATAATTCGGCGCGTTTGGGTTTTGAGGATAGTAAGCTGGAGATTGTTGTCGTGAGGCTGGTGCGCTCTTAGTGGAATTGACATAATTCGGGGTTTGAGGATAGTAACCTGGAGATTGTTGTTGTGAGGCTGGTGCGCTCTTAGTGGAATTGTCATAATACGGGTTTTGAGGATAGTAACCTGGAGATTGTTGTTGTGAGGCTGGTGCGCTCTTAGTGGAATTGTCATAATTCGGGTTTTGAGGATAGTAACCTAGAGATTGTTGTTGTGAGGCTGGTGCGCTCTTAGTGGAATTGTCATAATTCGGCGCGTTTGGGTTTTGATAGCAAACTGAAGGCTCCGGTTGTGGAGGAAAACGAGCTGGATATTGTTGTTGATAGCTCGAGTCTGAACTCATTCTAACGGTATATGGATAAGATATTCTATACAAAAGAAAGATTAGCGTATCTAAATTCTATGCTGTGTTTGTAATTGTATCACTACTTTCTTCCATATTAATATAAACATTCTAGAATGCCATTGTTATTGTGCCAAATGTGGTAGTATAAAGATATGCGAGTTGAAAAATGGTCAAGTCACACGGAAAAATACGCTCAAAAGCCACAAACTTTACAGTAAAGACTTTACCTTTGAAACTCCTATTGTCCGTATTTGGATCGTTTGAAGCTTGAAATTTAAATTATGAAGACGCAATACATTTCGACTTAATGTAATTCATGTCACCAAACTTTTCTACGAGGAATTTACTTACAACTTGACACACGTTGTACGGCTCATAATATTTTTATTTATGGAGCTGAGCATCCGATGAAGGTTGAGCCTGGCGGGCTGGCCGTTTACCAGATAGATTCTATTCGTGAAAACACGCTGGAATTTCGATAAAATTGTATAAAGTGTTTAAATGCGTCGAAAATGCAGTTCTATTATAAAGTTTTATATTGGGTGTGTAAGTTCGATACACATACTCGTAATTAAGCGCGTTTGGTAATCTCCCAAAAACTCAGTCAAAATGAAACTTCTGCAAAATACCAAGTGAACCAGGTAAACATTGGCGGTTAGGTAAAATATCGCTCACTACATTCGTCAAAACTTGCAGCATACTGGAGTTCAATTGCAAAACCGTCGTTGATTACGTATTTGATTTATATCTCACAAACAAAGAAAGTTTTACAATCAAACAAAGTTATAAGGAAATGGATGAACAATACAAAACGGCCGAAAAAACTTTGGCAAGTTTTGCAGTAAGTCAGATTTATTATGGCTTTTGATATGCATGTAGCGTATTAGTGTACTGGCTGCAGCCCCGCTACAGATATACCATGTTTTCTCGGTTAGAGTCGGGTTAATTAGGTTTAGGGTAATATTCGTTGTATTTTATGAGCATTAATATTCTGCACTGAAATTTGGCCGAATGAGAAAATGTCGGACAATGTGAAAAATTTCTGGGAAGATAAATCTTTGGATCAAAAACTCTATATATAAGACAAGAAAAAGAAAATACAGTAATCGAGGTAGCGTTTGTTCGAATTTTAAGAAATTCTATTTGAAGCAATCTTGATTATTAACTAGCAGCAGACCACTTACTATTACATGTTCAATCTGTAACTAATTTAATGTTCGTTCTACACGTTTTCAACTCGATCTTTCAAAAAATTCCACCTTTATTACACCTATAATACGTCGTATACGCTGTGAACCAAGTATCATCTTTCTGTGAAATGAATAATTATTTGACCGTTCTCGATAAACTTGGTTACTGTGTTAAGAGCGTTTTTTTTTTAGTTGTGGCAGACTACTTTCTCCAATAACTAACCGTACTGCTTTTACGCGGGTAACTTAAATTGACGTAAATGGCCGACAATGATCTTGATAATCAGATTCCCGTAATTTGATAATACATATTCAGCTCGACGATCCATACTCAAGTACCAAATTCACTATTAAATGTTGAGGCTGTGAGGCTGACGTTTATCCGTCGAACAACAATATTAGTAAGCGTCCTAACTATTTATGTGGTCAAAGAACCTAAACGTAGCTCTGGCGATAAATTCTCCAAAGATAAAAAGCTAGTTTCACAAAATTCGGTTAAACTGTTATACTAATTAAGTAAACAAATCATGTGACAAGAGATAAACAGAATGGATATTAATAATATTAATATCGGTAGATACAATTTATCCGCTGATAGTTTGACTTGACATAAAGGAAACAAGAAATCGTCCAATGAGATTTTGTAATAAAATATTCGCAATGTGTTAAAGTGATGGCGACAAGTTAAGGAAATAGTAAGGTTGAGCTGTTGCCACAAATTTATAGCCAGCACCGGAAAAACCTATCACACAGAATCCGGAATTTCGGCAAATTAGTGAAATTACCAAGCTTCGAACAGGGTTTGTAAAAAGTTTCTTATGAAAGAAAAAAGTATAAAATGAACGTATCGGTACATCCAACAACAATATATATCTTTGAATTATCATGAGTAATACATCATTCACCAACGTAACCGTCGCAGGAGGCACCGGATTACTGGGTTCTCATATAGCTGAAGGCCTGTTGAACGATGGATCATTTAAAGTGAAGGTTCTTCGAAGACTGCCAAAAAACCCAAATGAGAAAGCCGACCTGTTGGCTTCCAAGGGTGCAGAAATTGTCTACGCCGATTATAATCGGCATGATGATCTTGTCAAAGTTCTTAGCGGAACCGATGCTCTAATCTGCACTGCAGCTCCCGGAGTTGTCGGGGGCGGTTATGATTTTGACGCTCTTCAAACTCCGTTGTTGAACGCTGCTAAAGCTGCTGGTGTGAAAAGGTTTATTCCATCTGAATTTGGTATAGAGGCTGAGTAAGCTTTGACATTTTAAGTATTGTCTTTTTTCTTATTATTATCGACTATGTGCAATTGTAATAACACAAATACATTTTCCTATCCTGTCTGAAAAGGGTTGGTGTTCATCCGATAACCGATGCCAAAGCCTCGTTCCGTGAAAAGATTGAACAAAGTGGACTTGAGTACACCTATATTTCGTGCGGATTTTTTCCAGAATATCTCGGCTGGATGGGGTTTGATATCAAAAATAAGACTGCCAAATTCTACGCAGACGGCAACACCATATTGGCCACTATGTCTATGTCAGATATCGGCAAATATACCGCTGAATCTCTTAAATTGGAAGAAAGTCGTAACGCCACTATCAGGGTTGCTGGTTCGAGATTTTCGCTAAGCGAGATACTTGAAAAGTTTGAAGAATCTACCGGTGAGTCTTTTGCAATTTGCTGCCTTTTTCTCTCTTTGAAAAATACATGTGTTAATTATGTCAACTTGCATTTAAGGTTCTAAATGGAAAGTTGTCGTAGATAAAGAAGTCAAACACAGATTCCAGAATAAGATTGACCCAGTTCCTTCATTAGTGGATTTGTTTGTAGCCATATATTTGGAAAAATCAGCGTTCGAAAATATTGATAACGACAAGTTTAGTTTTAGCCCTCGCTCTCTCGCTGACGATATAAACGTGCTTGTTCAGCAGGCATCTGTTTGATATGTAAAGCCAGAGTTAAACGTAAAACCCTCACACTATGTCAGAGCACTTTCTAACTAAGTGTCTGTTTTATGCAATACATCGCGAAGTGTAGAAACTTTTTTTGCAATATAGTAATAAGTTAGTCTCATTAATATTTACATTTTAAAACCGCTAAATCTATATACAAATCGTTTATTATTACATGATTTGTAACGTTTTTTCTTGCCAGGGTACATCTTTAATTTTGAATGTATAAAATCATTTCTTACGAAGTAAGGACACTTATGTACCTAGATCTAATCTGTGATATTTTTGTTTCACCTCCAATGCTCATAAAAAGCTTTTCCGCTCTTTCCCTCCTCCTTCGCAAAGCATCGTCATTAAGACCAACTTTTTCTTTTCTCTGGCACTTCCCAAACCCTTACATCCGGATGATTAGATTCCAACCAATTTTTTGCCTTTATCGAATTTTTTTTGTTATTGAAGTACAAGCATATAGTCGGTCCTTCTTTCCTGAACCACCATCCAAATAACTCTAATGAATCAAAACATTCCATTAAGTTATCATCATTCCATTGTGCAAGTGTTTCGCCATCAGTTATTTCAAGGGTATAATTTTTTCCTACAGGGTCCTGTCCATATGCATATGTGAAATGTCGGTAAAGACTATCCAGGGAAAGAAAGGAATTTCTCATAAGGTCACCGGATATCCCTATATAAATGAGGCGTTTATTTAGAGTATTAACGTAACAGGCAAAAGAATATTTCATACCTGATGACCAAAACCAGGCCTCAATCTTCCAATTATATTTCAGGGCCCGTGTTAATATAGGATAATAATCACCATCGCCGGCAACTAAAATAATTACACCAGGATCCATAAAATGGATGATATCCAACATAGAAGCTCCAAGTTCCATATCGACTTTCTTTTCTTTATTTGCAATACGATCGTAAATGATCACATCGAATCTGATCCCATAGTGAATCGTTCGGAGGCGGACGGGAGCCAACAATCACTGGATTACTGCCTATTATTCGTCCTTTCAGTAGTGTTAATAGAAGACGTCCATGATCGATATAGAGCTGGTTGAGTTGGTAGGAATTTCTTTGGTAATCAAAATTGCCTGCTTGTTCAATACGACCAACAGTATATTTTCCTTCGATAAACAAGTTGGAATTATCCACAAAAACATATACAAGTCCAGAGTTTGATTTTGGAGTGTTTGCTATATGGAAGGGAACATTTAGTACTTTGATAATGAAGACAGATTTACCACCCCACATCAAGAGAGCAATATAGGTTTGATATATTAGAATGCAGTCGTGGTACTTACCTTGCTCTTTGCCCTTAATGTCTTTCTCCTTGATTTCCTTGGCGAAATCCACAAGTGTCATAGCAGGACCTAACTTCAATCCATGCCGTTCAAGTTCTTCCTTGGTCAATTTGAGGAATGTGCGTCCAGTGATCTCCTCATTGCGTTAAGATTTCGAAATGAGTTTCGTTAAGTTGCAAGTCCCCTTGTTCCTTCAAAAATTCGATAAGATTTTCTATATCATACTTTCTAACCAGTTCGGCTAAAGTGGGAGCCTGCTTTTCTTCGGTCACATTGTTAGAAGATGAAGCTGGAGTTGACATTTTGAGTTATATATGATTTTTTGGTGGATTTTATTGGTAGACTGCGGAATGGTACACAAGAAAAAAGTGACAAAGCTGGATGAGAAGCGTCTGGAGAAGAAGCTGGAGGACTGGAGTAGTTAAAAATCGGAATAATCCGGGGTGAGTAGCAGTTATAAGATATTGTGTTTAAGGTGTATTGGGAGGGAGTTTTATAAAAGAATGGCATCACATTACTTTTCGGCAGAAATTTTCCAGGTGATATATCTGTGTTACGCAATCGATTTTTCAGGCATGTGATTTTATTTCACACGATGACATCATGCATGGAGAAGTTCGACTTTTATTCTGTGGTATACACTCCACCGACCACCCCTTACATTTAGAATATTGACATAACGAGCAATGCAATCACCGCAAAATTAATACTGAATTTAGCGCACCTTCTAAATAGTATATACACAAAAAATTGCAATATGTTAGGTAGCAAAATTACGAATTTACCTAGAGCCGACTTTTATCCTACGAAAAAGGTAAATTTAGGTTATGCGACACGAATATTTAAAAAATCGGTAAAAATTAATCCACATATTAATTTTACACTCAGTTACACTCATTTGAAAGTGCAAAAGAGGCGCTACCGTATTTATAAAATATCATGCTTTTTTGTTGAGAAATCTAATTTTGAATCTAGGGTACTATTCGATAGTCGCCAACCCCCTTAAATTTGCAATTAAATGCAAATATTGACATAACAAGCAATGCAATTACCGTGAAACTAATACTAAAGTTAGCGCATCTAATGTACAACATATTTACAAAAAATTGTAGCGTGTCAGCTAGTAATATGATAATATTTATATATAGCTAACGTTTTGTGTTACCGAAAAGGTTAAAATCAAGCTAAACGACCTAGAAGTTTAAAATTGTTTAAACACCGGTTCCACATAATAAATATACACACATTTACATTTATTTGAAAGCGTAAACAAACTGCTATTGGATGCAAAAAAGTTTAACCAAATAGCTTGCTTTGTTGTTGAGAAAACAAATTTATTATTAAAATTTAACAAAATTTTTTTAAAAAAACTTTATTGAATATTTAAATGCTTGAAACACATTTATTTATGTTTGTAAATAAAAATATTTATTAATATTTAGTTGCCAAACCTTTAGCCTTTAAAACTGCCTTTACTCTACTATTCATACTAAGGATAAGATTTTGGTATACACTTTCTGGGATTTCTTCCCATTCTTTTTTGAAGCAATCTGAACAACTCTTTGGTGAAATTAAACAATGTCTTGCATATGACACAAACGTTCATTGGCTATGCGCTACTTTTTTGCTGAGGCAGCTGGGGTAGTTGGGGTAGTTAGCGAGCACCTTGTTGTGAATAAAAGTCCCTCGCGATAGTAGTTGGGGTAGTTCACAAAGTCTTTACCTGGCTGAGTGCTAACAGCAACTAAAGCATCTCCCATTTTTTCTTTTTTTCCATTCAGTAATTCTTCTCTTGCGCCAACTCATCCTTCTCCCCTGGCACTCTTCCTCTGTGGCCCCACGCTTCAAAGCTTCTAACCTATCTAACTTTGCATTAGTCTTCTCAAATTCCTGTTTCAACTGAGCGGCGTCCATGTCTGACGAAGTGAAAGTGTTTGTAGCTAGATGTGTTACGCGCGATATGATCTAATATACTAACGCTGATATCAGTGGCTTAATCAATGGCGTATTATTAGGAACTTTCAAACTATATATTGTTTCTGTAAAGGAGAATAATTGTCTATACAGTGAACTACTGTCTATAGTCCCTTCGTTTATAGTCACTATCTGCCTATAGTCACAGATAATTCGTGCCAAAACCATTTCATATGGAAATCACATTCCTATAGTCACAATCTCTAATAAATCTCCTTATAGTCCCTATCACCAAAATTTCGGATCAAGATATAAGTGTCTGCAGTCACATCTGATCGCGTGTTTGTTGATAAATCTTATTAAATTCACTAATTGGATAGAGGTTTAGCGATAGTAAGAACAAGCCTAAGAGTTCCGCCGGAAGACGACTAAATCCCAAGGTCGTTACACGAACGCTCTCCCACGTGTGGCGACCCGACATAAGCCATACGCTTTTTCTTATTGTCAAAGCATTGGTATTACAAGCATATGGATTGTATAAAACGGTTGCATCCTATTTCATACTAATAAAAAAATACGCTTAGTTCAATTACTGTACAAATATATACTAACATTATTGCGAATATACCTGTTTTTAGTACACACTAAATAGAGGGAAACGCCCCGTATGCTTCGTCCCTTAGTGCATGTAATTAAGCCGCCTTGTATCGGAAATCGTAGACGCATGACAGCCAATTGCAAATGAAATCTACTTTATTGATGAAAACCGTCTTGACAATTATTCCGATGGTAAAGCCACAACAAACAATAACAGCCCTTCACAATGTCGATTGATTGCCAAAATGGCAAGCCTACCAACCATTATAATATCAATTTTCAAACCGTTCTCGACTGTATATTCCGAAAAAACGTAAAAGACGATCAGAAATTAAACCGGCTTCTTCGCAATATTAATATCGATTGATCAAATGGATTTGCCCAGAATATCTAATAGCTTCTTTGCGCTCATGCTAAGCTTATCAGCCATTACAATATCAATTGTTCAAATTCGGTTCTTATCCAAATTAGTATTTGTCCCAAGTTGTATCATTCAATGATTCAAACTAATGGGAATAATTAAATTGTACGCTAGTTGAATGAAAAAATATATTGTTAACTTATTTAGTCGATTAGAAACATTTATAAATGCGCGACTAAATAATTGTAAATTGATCTATCCGCCTTACAAGAATACGAGACTATCATAGATTTCACCGCTGCTAATTATCTCTTTTGCCAGAGTTGCATTTCCCCTTACACCACAAAACGTATCAATAAATTCTTCACAACCTTCTCAGACAGTAGTATCAAGATCTGCAACAGTCGAATTGCAATATAATGCAAATAACTCACCTCATGTTCAATATTGGCGTCCGTTATCTCGCTTAATTAATTCGTCCGCCGTCTGTGTATTATCATTTTTTATTGCTGATATTTTTTGCTCATCTAAAAATATGTTGTTTTAGTCAGTTTCAGTTTAGAATGTTAACTTTTCTTAAAAGTGTCGTTTTTTATTAATCCTTTCTCGTTGGATAATCTCAACGTTCAACCAGTGGGAACTCTAGGAAACAGTACTCTTTATTATTGCGAGTATATACGATTTGCATCTCGAAGCTGTTTTTCTTTTAAACATCGTTATCTATATAATAAACAGTAATGGGTTTGAGCGTTGAGCATTTCAGAATAATTTTCCATCCTGCGATATACACTTTACCACCATAAATAAAAGTTAAATCGTTATCTATTGTAATTATCTATTTTAGTATCATTCTACGCATGTACAACGTAGTTTACTAATTAATTAAAAGGAATTATCTCATCCCATCCATCTGTTTAAAATTTATTTCCGTATTGTGCACAGTTTGCCACGTAATTGTTGTGCTGAGGAGGCGAAGCTTCTTGAATTAATTTTCACTCTAGTTAATAGATTTAATATTTGTTTTGCTTAAATTATGCCTTACGATTATTTATGTCGCTCAATTTGAACAATACCATATGAGTAAATTTTATTGCTTTATCTGTTAGTTTTATGCTTCAGGTATACAGTACCTTAGTGTGTTCTACTTATCTGTTAGAGACACGGATAACTATATTCAATTATTGAAAAAGTACGTTGTTATACGAGAGAGCTCAATCAACAATAAAATTGATAAATTTCTCTGGCGCGGTTTACTTCTTTTCAATACTTTGTATGTAAATCCTTCATTAAGGCTAATTTCGAGATTGTTTTCTTGTATATATATTTACTATATTATCGAGTCCTACAAATTGGTTTTCTCCATTTCTCAACAATCGTGTGATCACAAATTTATTAAATTAGTACAATTCGATTGGCCCCGTTATAATATGATATCCGTTATATCAAGTATATTTTTGATAGAACTGGCATATACAAGTGACTCTGGTTATAACGACACTCTCGGGTAATGAAAAAAGTGTCGTTGGAGCCAGACGTCGGTTTATCTAGCAACTGGGTTGAACATCGACATTGCATTGCAATATGTTACGAGTAATTCATCAGTTTATCACATATAAATATTTACGAGCAATTTAAGCCATCAACAACTTTATTCACAAACAAAAAACGAATCCAGTTTTGTTGTGTATAAGTATGGTATCTAAACTTCGAAGAATAGAATCAAATTAAGATTAAGTAGATCTTATAACGACAGTCGTTTTAAACGGCTCGTACAAACACCATGAAGAAGCGATCACAAAAAATTAATCAAGTCAGTGTATCAGGTATCTGAAAAGACAATAACTGTTCAGTTACTGGCAAGGATTAATTACGTGGGGGGGGGGGGGACAAAAAGTTTTGACACAATGTAATTATCTCAGCAACCTTTGATTATATTTGCTTGGTAAAATAACCATATTAAAGCTTGAATCACACTCAATTAATGATAGAAGTTTTAGTTTGATGGTTGTCGAGAAATATTTTTTTTTGAAACTTGTCTATTAACAACGATGGAAAATTTTATTCGCGAAACCAAAGATGATATACCTTGGGTGAGCCTGACGACGCTAATCACTGTTGAAGGAAATAAAGCACTATTTAAGCGTACTATTTACCGCTAGGTTGAAGCATTAACCCGATCTGGATATCTCTGCGAAGCCGTCACACTTTTGAATATTAAAAGTATTCAGAAAGTCATGATGATTACTACCCAATAATTATATACAAAACTTAAAATAACATATCTTTGTATCACTAAACCACTTCTGGTAGACCTCTTCTAATCAACGTCGCTTTTTTGGTTTAACAGTCTAGATCTATCAAAAAAAAAGTGAACAAATTGCGTACTGCTAAAGTCAGAAACACTGTTTTGATTCATAGCATGTCGACGAG